AGGTTATGTATGACTACAGAAAATGAAGGTCAGACTATCAGTGTGTAATGTCTAGGTGTTTCAAGCAAAGAAAGGTGCTTGGGTAAAGCATATATTAAATACTCTTTATATCGCCACCAACTTATCTGATTAGCATTAAGGGTTGCCAAAGTACATGCTCAATAATATATACAACTTTCCCTCCCAGGCATAGTTATTTTGTAAATGAAGGAAAAGATCTGAAAACTGTATGTGTGTGTGTGTGTGGAGGGGGGGGGGTTGTCTCACCATAAGGGAGATTTTCAGAGTAGCATCTGGAAATCCTATTAACCGTCACGAATGTCCCCACAGTAACCAACACAAATAATTCAAACTGTTTGTGCTAACATTTAAGGTGTGCCTCTAAGCTTTCTAAATAGTTTGTATTTAAAAAACTCAGATTCTCTTAATTCCCAGAAAAGCTTAAACACATACATGAAGCAAGTTCAACTGCTTATTAACAAGTTTGAACTGACAGACTAGTCTTGGGCTAGTCTAATCGAATAATGGAAAATTTGAAAGTCACTCTTACAACGTACTTACGACCCAAAATGAGCACGATTTTTTTTTTCTTTCGGTAAAAAAATCAAGAGGTTGTATAAAATAAAATGAAAGTCTCGCATTCATGTAAAATAAAAATGAGATACTCTGTATATCTTTTTTTATTATTTTTTAACTTTTGCAATGCTCAGTGAACTGTTCTTATGCATAGGGATATCTGTGTCGTGGTCATCGCAGGGATTGAACCTCGAAATTTAGCACTGTAAGTCCTAGCTTACTTCTGAGCTACTCAATGAACTGCATTATACTTATAGCATCTAAAAGTTATGTTCGCTGTAATGTATTTTAATCTCCAACCAGTAATATGCTTTGTACTTCACTCTCTGCCTCTGAAGGAAGTCATTTCCCAAAATGAAAAAAAACAAAAACTTTTCTGCCGACCTTTAAGAGCGACCTTTATTTACTTGTAAATATTTATCTGATATGGAAGCTGATAATATAACATTCTAAGAAGCTATAATTTTATTTACCTTTCATACAAGTATTATTCCTATGATTTGTTTGTTGTTAAACACAAAGATGGGCTATGTGTGATGTGCCCACCGCGGGTACCGAAACCAGGCTTATCGAGAGCTGAGATGAGCTAGAAAGCTCACAGTGATAAAGAAAAGGCAAAAATACAGCATATATTTTATGTATAAATTCAGTATATTTTAAATTGATTTTTGTTTACATGGCCACACTTTCTAGGATCTTCTACCCAACTTTAGAGATTCCTTAGGCCCTTGGGGGCCCCGGTGGAGAATCCCTAGCTCTCCGACCCTCTTGACAGGCCTGATCGAAACCCGAGTTTTATCGTTATAAGACCTCAGACATACCGCTGAGCCTAAATGGTTCTGATACACATCACGTGAAGCTAAAATATATGGATGGATATTGTTTTCCAATACAAAATAAAACTAAGACAAAAAGCTTAAAAATGAAATGTAAAAACACATGATTATGTTTCAATGCCTAGTACACATGTGAGAAAAAACCTAAAACTTGTAATATTTGTAGATGGAATGCAAAGCACTATACAAAATGGTGGCGCTACGTTTGAATATGCCTAGGCCTATAATAAAATATTTTATGTATTAAATTTACTTGAGACAAGCTCATTACGTACCATCCAAGTCATCCCATAAGGCTTCTGTTGAAACAGGTTGAAGATCGTAGTAGAACCTTGCTAACCCTTTCTGAATTGTATTAAAGACCATCACCGCTTCCACATACAGCGCCACCTGGCCGTGGTAGGAATTAAAACATCGTAAGAGTTCTGGGTGTTTTTTATCAGTTTTACTATATAATAAATGTAGTCTTCTGTGTCCTTCCACGTAAATTTGGATGCCTTTGAAATTTTTACTAACCCGCAAACAACCACGAAATTCTTTCCCGGAAGTTCCATGACGTAAAACGACTCTCAGCGCCCCTCGCGGATACTTCCATTCAATACGACCTTGCGCGCATCGTAGATACACAGCCTGGACTCCCCGTTCGCCTTGAGTTAGTCCACTGAAAATTTAAAAGTAACAATAAAACAAAAATATACGCATTAATCCAGTTCTTAAACAACAAAATATTTCCATTATGGAAAGACTGAAACAATGAGTTTAAATATATAAGACTCTTCTGCCATTTTCTACTAGAACACACACAATGATCCATCGACAATCTAGCTTCTAAAATGGAATATCTTGTTAAGCAACATAACGAGAAAAGTACTCTAGATGATTGAATAAGCTAGAATTGTTATCTGTTCTTTGAGTAAAACCCTAACAAGAAGAGGAAGAGTTAAATCATGTTTAATCGCAATTGGTATTAAAAACACTAATGAAACCATAAAACTGAATAAGTGTTCACCAATAATGTTGAAGATGTGGACAACCAGACATCACTTCTGAACTATTCACGAGTATCAGTTGTTTGGAAGTTTAGTCCTTGAGAGGGGTTAAAAAAGATGGAAATATCAGGATTACAGAGCAGGGCTAATGGGCGGGATGGAGGAAGAACTGCCCATGCTAACTCCTTTATTGCAGCCGTTACATGATGAAATAACAAGGGGCGTGACACTTTCATATTGTAGATAACCTCCTAACAGTTCAACACATTGTCATTCGCTGGACGCAATTTACTCTTTTCTGTCAAAAGGGGGGGGGGGAGAAAATCAAATCTTAACACCCTCTAACCATTAATAGTCTATATGATTTAAATAAGTTTGTTTACGATGAGATTATAAGTTAAATTATGTTCTTAATATTTCTGTGGGAACAATCGGATTGATTAAACAAATTGATTGTGGGTCCAAGAACTTGTTGAGAACAGTGTTTCTAATAACTTATGAATCATATAAAAAATTAAACAAAAATAGCATCAATATTGCGATTACTCTACTAGTTACTGTTGGTTTCAGAATCTACGCGCAAAGCTACTCAAAGGCCTATCTGCCAACAGTAGTCCTTAATTTTGAACTCAAAAACTAGAGGGAAGGCAGCTAATTAACAGTATCTAATACCAAATCTTGGGCTACTCTTGTTCGACTGAACAATGGGATTTGACCGTCACTCTTATTACGCACCCACGACCCTAAAGTGCAGAGCGCATTTTTGTTTCAATAGGCTACGCACCACGAATTCTCGAATTTACAGTCCGGGCCTGTGCTAACAATTAGGACACGCCTGGCCATTTTACAGAGAAAATGGTTGATTTCGCAATTTTTTTTTAACCACTTCAGTCATCTGAGGGTTAAATATTTCACAACGTTCGTATTATATGCTGTCATATGTTTAGAAGATACTTTAGTGAATTGATTGACCATATCATAAAAAGGGAACAGGAATTATCTCTACGTAATTAAACATTTTTGGTAATGACCCCCAATGGCTCAGCGATAAGTGTGGGGTCTTATAACGCTACAAAGTGGGTTTCGATAGCCACGGAAGCCAGAACACAAATTGTTTGTTTGTAGTTATGCGCAAAGCTACACAATGGGCTATCTGTGCTCTGCCCACCACGGATATCGAAATCCGGTTTCTACCGTTGTAAGTCCGCAGATATGCCGTTGTGCCACTGGGGGGCGAGAACACAAATACCCCATTGTATACTTTTAGGCAACAAAAATAACTTGATAATAATAGTTCACACGAAATTTATATATATTTTTTGGGATTTGGTTAAACTAGAAAGCATGAATATATGTTTACCAACCTTTTAGTGAAAAAAAGACTTTTTTCTTACTCGTCTGTTATAAGTAGTATAAAGGTATCAAAGCTCCATAAACTTTTCCCCAGAATTACGTATTACACATGCAATATTTCGTTTACTTTCACCCATATATTCCATATACACTATACTATTGTATTGTGTACATAAGTATGTTTGTTTGTTTTTGAATTTCGCGCAAAGCTACACGGGGGCTGTCTGCGCTAGCCGTCCATAATTTAGGAGTGTAAGATTAGGGGATTTGTTTGTTTGTTATGAATTTCGCGCAAAGCTACACGAGGGCTGTCTGCGCTAGCCGTCCCTAAGTTAGCAGTGTAAGATTAGGGGGTTTGTTTGTTTGTTATGAATTTCGCGCAAAGCTACACGAGGGCTATCTGCGCTAACCGTCCCTAATTTAGCAGTGTAAGACTAGAGGGAAGGCAGCTAGTCATCACCACCCACCGCTAACTCTTGGGCTACTCTTTTTACCGACGAATAGTGGGATTTACCGTTACATTATAACGCTCCCACGGCTGAAAGGGCGAGCATGTTTGGTGTGACGGGGATTCGAACCCGCGACCCTCAGATTGCGAGTCGAGCGCCCTAACCACCTGGCCATGCCGGGCCTGTGTACATAAGTAAAACCTAAAACCAGCACAACCTTTTGCTCATAACAAAACACTTACTAAGTATTTAGTTTTAAAAATATTATTAGTTTATATAATAGCTTCTGAAACATGTTTCTTATAGGTCTCACATAGGTGCACCTGGTTTACAATACACTACATTAACTAATTAAAAATCACAACATAAATTTTGCCGGAAAAATTCTGACAGATTTGTAAAATTAAATTTACACTGCGGGAATACAACAATTCAAGTATATATATTTTTACACATTACGAATTACGTCTGAACCATTGGTTGAACCCGTTTACTTTATGTCATAAATATCCACAGTACTAGAAGTTACGTAACCCAACTCTGCCTTCTTTTGTTGAAGAAACTCCGAGAACAACTGAAACTTTGGATCTAAATAATTCATTTTTGGCAACCGTACTAGAACATTTTAAATACGATAATGGTCACTTTTCATAAAAGTTAGATTTACTCGACTTCTGTTCTAGCCCCCCCCCCCCCCCTGTGGCACAGCGGTATGTCTGCGGACTTACAACGATACCTGTGGTGAGGAAAAAAAACAGAAAACCCTTTGTGTAGCTTTGTGCTTAACTGCAAACAAAACCTTCTTGTCTAAGTTTAAACAAACATTGAATTCAACGCCAACGATGAAAAATTAAAATTTACACGACTGTCCTTCGTACACACGAAAAAGTGAAATATTTTAACTTCACACGATTCGATTAGACAGACAAAACAAAGGTATCAAAACTTTGTTTAGTAAAAAAAATAACTCCTAATTTAAACATTTAATTTACATTCAGTGTGATATGATATTCTTACCATCAAATGCCAGCATCTCATAGTTTAAAGGTTTATTATACTGTGCTCTATTAGTGATTCCCCCTCTTATACTGATTACGTCATCCCGGAGTTTAAATAAATAGAGATGATGTTCCCATTTACATTCAGTGTGATATGATATTCTTACCATCAAATGCCAGCATCTCATAGTTTAAAGGTTTATTATGCTGTGCTCTATTAGTGATTCCCCCTCTTATACTGATTACGTCATCCCGGAGTTTAAATAAACAGAGATGATGTTCCCGCAAATTACTGCCTTGGGGTCTAATTCAAGGTTTTGGAGCACATGGTTGTAGCAATGTCGGACATTGTACAAGATAAAGAAGAGTAAAGCATCATACACATTGTTGGAAAGTACTCATTTCTCGTGCCTTCTCTTTACTAACTTCTACGGTGACGACACCTAAAGTTTGATTTCTTAGTTGAGATTAAATCAGTTACGACCATTTAGTTTTAGTTCACCAATCATGTTATTAACCAACATCCAAAAGCAAGGCCGTCTCGCTAGTATCGAAATGGCCTTGCCAAGTATTCTAAAGTTTTGAAAGATGGACATAGAGATACTCCCAGCACCCTCCCCTACCCCTTCTGTCTTGTTACCAAAAGGTCTTACATATAGCAGTGAAACCACAAAAGCCTTCTCTAAAGGTAAGGAAAAGAAACCGATTATTCTTTTCGATAGAGATTTGCGTATTTTCCTTAACAGATCGATTCGAAGTTTAATTTTTAAAAAACATCGAAGTTAATCGATTATACAAGCATCACCAAGGTAACGTAACTGTTGATTAAACTAAATAACTGTTCACAAAAGTATCAATACTTTAAAGCTTAAACGTTCAAGTACTTTTAGTCCTTTATCGAAGTATAATGACGCAAAAATGTATCTGTTGAACTCAATACTGGATTTGTTAAAACAGATTGGTGTAGGTATAGCATATATACTTGTGAAATTAAACGCTAGGGTTTTGAGTTGAAAGCTTTAGCAACTCAACACTCCAATCCAGGTTTAAACACAATCCAGTAACTCCACCAACACTTGTTTAATCACAATCCAGTAACTCCACCAACACTTGTTTAATCACAATCCAGTAATTCCACCAACACTTGTTTAAACGCAATTCAATAACTACATTAACACTTGCTTAAACACAATCAAATAACTCCACTAACACTCGTTTAAACACAATCAAATAACTCCACTAACACTCGTTTAAACACAATCCAGTAACTCCACCAACACTTGTTTAATCACAATCCAGTAACTCCACCAACACTTGTTTAAACGCAATTCAATAACTACATTAACACTTGCTTAAACACAATCAAATAACTCCACTAACACTCGTTTAAACACAATCAAATTACTCCACTAACACTCGTTTAAACACAATCAAATAACTCCACTAACACTCGTTTAAACGCAATTCAATAACTACATTAACACTTGCTTAAACACAATCAAATAACTCCACTAACACTCGTTTAAACACAATCAAATTACTCCACTAACACTCGTTTAAACACAATCAAATTACTCCACTAACACTCGTTTAAACACAATCAAATAACTCCACTAACACTCGTTTAAACACAATCCAATAACTCTACTAACACTTGTTTAATCACAATCCAGTAACTCCACCAACACTTGTTTAAACGCAATTCAATAACTCCACTAACACTCGTTTAAACACAATCAAATAACTCCACTAACACTTGTTCAAACACAATCAAATTACTCCACTAACACTCGTTTAAACACAATCAAATAACTCCACTAACACTCGTTTAAACACAATCAAATAACTCCACTAACACTTGTTTAAACACAA